ATATATATATCCAAGTTTATAGAAGCACAATTCCTAATGGCTAAATCTTGAAATAGCCTATATGCCTATCAACAGATGAATGAAGGAAATGTATTTTTACACAATGAAATATGATTCTGCAGCAAAGAAAGGTAAACTTGAGGCATTCGTTGAAAAGTGGAAGCACCTTGAGACTATGATGGTACGTGAAGTAAATCAGATCTACAAGCTTGAACATTACATCATCTCTCTTCTATGAAAGAGTTAATAAGAAAAAAGAGAAAGGGAAAAATGTTATTGTATTCTACATATGTTTCTGCTGTCCATTTCTGGTTTCACTCAAATATGGTGTGAGAGATCACTTTGCAGGATTTCCATTTCTTTGGACATGTTAATGTCTTTATTGTTGCTGTGACTATGGTCTATTTTGAATTTTAAAAATTCCCAGAATAGGAAAATCTATGAAGATAGAAAGTAGCTCAGAGGCTACCTAGACTTAGGGGAGACGTATTGGGAGATGATAGTGAGCAGATAGTGTTCTGTTTGGGGTAACAAACATGATCTAAACTTGATTGTGGTCATCACTGTACAACTCTTCCAATGTGTTAAAATAGACTGAATCTCATGCTTTGTAAATTGTGTGGTATGCAAATTTTAGTAAAATAAAGTTGATATTTTAATTAAAAATAAAAAGATAATTTATATAAAAGTTCTCTATAAACTGTAATATGCCATACATATTTGTTCTGAAGGTGTTCAGGAGATGCCACCCCAAACCTGCCTTTTTGTCATACTGATAACTTCAAACCAAGGGCACTCAGAACATAGAAAACCAGGGATAAGCTTTCTCTGAACATCCCTTATCTTCCTAAAGACAGATCCTCTGAAAGGAACTCAGTGGTCATGAGTTTCTCCCCTGGAATCTCATTGACTGGGAAGGATTAACTCACACCACAACAGCGGAAGCTGGAGGCTGACACCACACCCAGACAGTCATAGACATTACCTCTTCTGGTGTTCCATTCACTTCTCCACAATTCCACTTGCCCCTAACTTGCCTATATACCTTCTCCCTCCTGTTCTGGGAAGAGAGTATATAAGCTTCTAGATCACACTGGAGTGAGGGGTATTCACTTTTCTTTCCTATGATATACCTGTATACATAAGGAACCTTTATATCTTGTCTCCTGCTCGCTCTTGGTTTATTTCATAGACTCAGTTATAGAACCCTTAGACAGTGTAGAAAGTCTCTGTTTTGCTGTTATGGAGAAGTCTATTATTTAATAAACCAGAACACACAACTTCTGTTCCACTTCAGGTAATAAAAATTCAAGCTGTAACTTTTGTTATTTCCCATAGTTCCTGACACATCATACCCACAGTGGAGCCTCAAAATATCCTGTCAGCCAACACTGATAATTCTCTCTGTGCTGTTTCTTTCAATACTGCAAAGAAATATTTCTGTTATGCTCATCGTTCAAGGCCAGGATCTTGGTATTAGGGAATACTTTCTTGAGTAGCAAACAGTTTTGAACATCTGACACTATTAAAAACCATCTTACTCACCTACTCTTCATTTTTGCAGTTAGCAGAGCCCAACTTTGGAAGACATAGTTGTATGAGTTAGAATGGCCAAGGAAGGAAGAAAAAGTGAGTATGTGTACAAGGGGCATTTTCCCAAACTGACCTTAGTGGCATTTGCAGCTGGGAAATTTTCTAATTTTTCTAAGTCTCTGCTTCCAACAGAGAATTCAACTTCTGGAGCATGCATCCATCCCTGTGGTGCTTGGAGTGTGTAAATTTCAGACTGCTGTTTGCTCCCACTTAGACAAATGGTGAAGTGTCTCAGAGAAATGGATCTCTTTGGAGAACCTCATTCCCACCTCATATACTCCTCACTTTGTGGGAAATGGGCTGGAAAGTGGCGAGACCTGTGATAATATGGGCTACTCCTGCCCAAAGAAAGGACATCTCAGGGGGCACATCAGAGTCTCTTGTGTCACCTGGCCCCAGACAATGACCCAGACAGCTCCTTCTTTGGATGTAAAATGTTCTTGAGGCAAAGCTTGCATGGCAGTTTTGCTCTGCCAGGGAGTAATTGGCTGCCTGACTACTACCAATAACTCCAGCCAACTGTGGCAGCTGATGAGTCACCAGATTGGTTTGTCTTCCACTCTGAGAACAGCACTGGCTACTGATATGCATCAGCACACCTCCATTTTGGGCATGCCTTTTCTGGTGGTGGGGTTTCCTGCAGTGTACCACAAGTTCCTGATCTGTTTTGACATCCTCTCCTCTTCAATTCGGCATCTTGGTCCACTTCATTGGCTTAGCAAGACTATTAATAATGTTGGAAAGGGGAGAACTCACAAACCGAGTTTTACATGATCACTTTCTTATTCATGTTGCTCAGATTATCATCAACAGGTAATTAGACTAAAGGCTGGCAGCTGGGCTGTATGTCTGGGCTGCATGTCCGGACATCACAGGGTCTCCATTAGTGGTAGTTCCATTTTCCTTCCCTGTTACAGAGGTCAGAGGTTGGAAAACTCCAAAGATACACATGGCTCTGTTCTCCACTGGCTAATGGCAGAAAGCTGGTAAAAATGGTGAGCTTATCTGAGATGGGCAAGGTTATAGTCATGATGTGGAGCATGGAAGAGCAGCATCTGTTAGAAATGCAGAATTGTCAACTTCATCCCAGACTTACTGAATCCAAATAGGGAGCACCAGGGTAATCCACATCTAAATCTTGGATGACCCTAAACATACAAGTCCAAGAGGAGCAACCAGGTTACACAAGTTGGAGTTATACTAAACCGAGTTCCCTCAGCGTTCCACAGGCAGAAAGAAAAGGGCCTCCTACGACAGGGGTCCCTAATCCCCAGACCATGGACTGGCAGGAACCTGACTGCACAGCAAGAAGTGAGCAGTGTATAAGTGAGCAAAGTCTCACCTGTGTTTACAGTTGCTCCTCATCGCTGACATGACTGCCTAAGTTCTGCCTCCTGTGAGATCAGCTGCAGCATTATTTTCTCATAGGAGCCAGAACCCTACTGTGAACTGTGTATATGAAGGATCTAGGTCATGTGCTCCTTTGAACCATCCAGAAAACATCATTACCTACCCCCACAAACACATACACACACATCTGTTGAAAACTTGTCTTCCACAATACCAGTGCCTGATGCTAAAAAGGTTAGGGACTGCTGTTTTAAGGTAACTCTCTTGCATTAAGATCTGCAGATAATAATTTGATATCATGCTACTGGACTGACCTTTGCATGCATGTCCTGACAAAATGCCCATCCAGAGCTCTACTAGATGCTCTGTACACCAGCAGGGTGACCCATGACACACACAATGACAGGCTGAACACATGAATCCTTAGGGATACCTAGAAGCCATATACTTATTTTAGTGGCTTACCTACAGGAACCACACAGCTGTCTGAAGCAGTATCACCTCTGTTCAGAAAACCTGAGAGAGCCCTTAAAAAGACAGATGGGACGCAGGGACTGGGACCAAGTTCTGTTTTGTTTTGAGGTCAAAATCGTTTCTGGGCAAGATTTCCTCTCTTTTCAAAAAAAGTGAAGATTTAATTTCCTTTTACATTTTGACTGCCTTTAATTTGCAGGACGTTAGTTTCATTTTCTCAATAGTTTTCTTAATTAGTACTCAGCTCATAAGATGCTTTCTCACCCATGCATGGGAAGCTCAGTCTGCACTGTGTGGGGGAAGGCACAGATCTGGCTACTGATGTCACTTTTTTCTCTTAAGGTAATGCTGTGAAGACGGGCTTACTGTTGTTCAGATGTCCAAATTTCTTCTAACTGCGCACCTCATATAATGACCAAGAATAGATTGTGTGTCATGAAGCATTCTCAGCCCTTAGAAGAGATGAAATAATAGGAAGTATAACAATGACATTATAATAAGAGCTCTTCAGGTATTATTCTTCCTGGTAAGCTGCCCACTGCCACCATCAGTGATCTGAGATAGGGTGGACTGTGGTGCCTGGCAACAGGTGGGCCTCAGGCTTCTGGTGTACACAGTTAACTACAGCTCACACACAAAGTGTCAGCTCTGCAGGAATGCACAGGCATCCCCTGGCCTGTCCCCTTGAAATCTATGAAAAGACAAAGGTAGAAAATGTTATTTCACAAGTGATCTGACTAATTTAAGATTTGCTGAATGTCTTCCTCTGCCATGGTCATCATCATAGCCACCACTGCTACGGTGGATAACACCTGTTTTCTGGGGGTTGATTGTCCAGATAGAATTGTCATCCTCAAAGAGTGTATTCCAGATATCTGAATTAGAATATCTCTTTTATTATTAAAGACTAGATAGGACAACATTCCATAAGAAAAGCAAATGTGGTCTTTATTGTTAGCATATCTATTTTCTGATAACACAGTTTTTGGTTGAGCCTATTTTTCTCTTTTGTTTTTGAAACTACAAGCCCACCCACAATAGAAGGGACTAATCTCTCCTCAGTCTCATTGGTCTAACTTGAGTCATGTGTCCTCTTTTGGACAATCCACCTGCAGCCAGGAGATGAAGTCACAGAAAGGATGTGTTTTATAGAAGCCAACTCTTATGAAACAGCTTTGTGCATAGGAGAAAGATGCTGTTCCCAAGATAAGGGAATGAGGAACATGACCTAACTACTACATCTGAATATCCAAGGGAAGTGTGGTCAAGGCCTGGACGTTTGGTGCTTTCCTTTTACTTCATGTTTATCCAGTGGATACTTTTTTTTTTTCCTCCCGTCCCCTATGTTTTACCTATTTATCTTTCATTTACTCTAAATTCCTGGGAATCACTGATCTTCTTAAGATCTTTACAATCTTGCCTTTCCCTAACTGTGATAGAATGAGACACACATATGCATTCAAATTTCCTATCTCTATTTTCATGGCCTGGTAGTAGCTCATCTCTTTTTATCACAGAAACATATCCTGTTGTATGAATAAAACAAGTTGATTTTTCTGCTATGGCTCGAATGCGTTGCCCAAAGTTCACGTGTTGGACATTTAATCACCAGTGCAAGAGCACTGAGAAGTAGGGACTCTAAGAGGTGACTAAGTCATGAAGCCTCTCATGAATAGATTAATGCTGTTATTGCTGGAGTGGGTTCCTTATTTTAATCAGTGTGCCTCACGTCACACTCCCTCATCCTTCCATCCTCCACCATGGGATGGATAATGCAGAAGGCATTGGCCAGAGGTAGGCCCTTGATCTTGGACTTCCCAGAAATGTAAGAAATAAATGTTTTTGTGGTTTTTCTATAAAATGGAATACTACGCAGCCATAAAGAATGCAAAATTAGAGTCATTCATAGGAAAATGGATACAGTTTGAGGATATATTCCTAAGTGAAACAAATAAGTCACACATGTGTAAATACCAAATAGTTTCTCTGGTGTGAAAAACTATAATAGAACACAAGATCCTAATGAGATAATTGACAATGTAAAATAGGAAGAAAAGGGCTAAAGGTATAGGGAAAGCAGGAAGGGTGGGGGAAAGGGAATAAGGGAAAAGAAAAAAATATGAGAAAATGAAAAAATGGAAATAAAGTGTTTGTAAATGGGGAGGGGAGGAGGGGATGAAGGGAGGGCAGGGACAAGGGGAAAAAAAATGAGAACCAAGACCTGTCATGTAAAGGTACAAGATCCCAATGATGAATGTAACTTTACTGTATACCTAAAATGTACCAATAAACTCAATAAAAAGAAAAAAAATGTTTTTTTTTTTCTTTACAAAGTAGCTAGGTTGTTATAGCAGCATAAAATGGACTAAGACATTTTCCATGGACATAATTGAAGAACTCTCATTTCTTTTCTATTCTGTTTGTCCTCAGGACTATTTTTTACTTCCATCTGGTGTCTTTAATGGGCAAGCACAACTTTCTTCCCCCTTTATATTAGTATATACAATTACTCATTTCAATACAGTAATGACAGAGCTCAGAGTTTTTGTGGCTGGCAGCTTCTGGACTGGTTATATGCCCTGAACCAATCAGCTCACCTGTTTCTCTAGCAAGGGGCACATGAATATGTACTTACAGTGGGTGGGATATGCTTTTGAGGTGGCACATCTGCATCTACGTGATGAATTGGCTACACAGACTGAGTGATTTTCCAGATATTCTAAGCTTCAGGAATGGGGTGAAGCTTTGTCTCCTCCCTGAAATAAAAATAGATACAAGAGAAGCTTCAGAGAGTACTGCGCCAGAGCAGGTCAATAGTATTGGCTACACATGGTTAGTATCAGGACTGGTTCATGGGCTCAGAGATGTTGCATTTAGGCAACGCACAGTCTAACTTACTGATCCTTAAAACTTATAAAAATGGGCCTCTGGAGAAATGTTATGAATATTATTTTGTTTTATAGACATCCTTCCCCCTTGCATATATGGCTCTTTTGGGTATGAGCTTCAACTGGGCATTATTCCATAAGCCCACTGCTGGACCCTGTTGGATTGATCTAGGAGAGGATATCAATCCAGCTAGTCAATTATGTGCCAAGGAAAAATTCAGTCTTTTTGAATGTGGCTAGGTTTGAAACAATTAAGTGTTCATGCTAATCCAGGCCATAGTTTATGCCCTGGGCATCAAAGAAAGTCTGTCTTTAAAATGAGAGAAATGAAATAGATGTGTAGAGGGCAGAAACAGAGTCTTACTTTTCTGAGTTCTGTTCCCAAGCATTTTCTGGAAGTGGACATTATAACTGTCTGCTTGATATTTACTTTTTCTTCCTTGGGAACTACTTCAGTGCTTACTTTGGCATCCACAGCGACCCAAGTAGCCCTTGGGAATAAGCAAATGACTCTAGTCTGAGTTTACGGTCATCTGACTCCTGGGTACAGGTGCTGGTTCAGAGATGGCTGGGAGTACAAGGTCGAATCGGTGACAAGAAGTAAGAGGATTGTTGTGGGATTCAGGACAGGAGCTTCCTTTCTCTTCTTGAGAACCTTCTAGAACATTGATGGTGGAACCTTTCATAGGTTGAGTACTGAACCTGCAACCCCAAACCCACTTTTTTTTTTGGTGCTAGGGATCAAACTCAGGCCCTTGCGCTGATGAGGCAGGTGGCGGAACCACTGGGCTAAATCCCCAGCCCTCAAACACACATATTTATCACAAAGTGCCAACATGGCAATTAAACCTGAATACTGAGGTTTTAATTTTAAAAACCCAAAAACCTCATACATTAACATCTTTTTTATGAGGAGAAAAACAAATAACATGTGTGTTGTGGGTTCACCACTACTGTCCTAGAAGAAGCATCATCCAGATGGCCCCAGTGTATATGTATATGTCGTCCCCAGTCTGTGCATTTGCCTTGCTTGCCAACCAGCAAAATGCCAGCAACAGTCACACTGGTCCTGAGATTGTGGATTCAGGTCACTGCTGCTGCCAAAGATAGAAGCTGGCAAAGAGATCGCGGTGCCTGTATGCTGGCCCCACTGGTCCTGTGTGAGCTCTGGCTTTTCCAGAAGCTTCCTGGAGAAGCCTGGGGATAGAACCAAGAAGAGAGGGGGAGTTGGGTCCCATGGGATGACTGATTAGCAGGAATCCAGGGACAGGAAGTTTTGCTGAGTAAATTCTTCATTTCTGCTCCCAAGGAGACACAGAAGCTCTTGCACCCCTGCTATGGCTCCTATTGTAATTTCTCTGTCCTTTTCCTACTTGATTCCCACATCTCATCTCATTCTCCCTTTTCCTTCTGCATTCTAAATCACATTCCAGACCCTAAAGAAGTGTTAACACATAGGTTTTTGCCTCAGTCTCTGAGAATCCTGGCTAAGACAATCAGGAGGATGTAACCTCATGAATTGTTGTTAGCTCTCTTGTGACCATGGAAACCAGCTGAAGGATCAAGCAGGTATTGTGAAAGTCAAGCAGACAGCGGAAACACACGTGATATGATCATTGATCTGCTGCATCAAACTGACCTGGATGCTTTCCCTACCTCTGCACCAGAGTCAGGGAGAAGTCTATTATTTCTGGTTTTCTGTGATTGACAGCTGAATACGTTGTACCTGAAATCCTTCTCTAGTCTAACCTTCATTTGCAGATTCTGGGAGACTCCCCCATTCCCATCATAGCCGTATAATAAATTCTCTCTGATCTTAAGGTAATATGAGTTTCTGGTACCTGCCATCAATCAGATTCTAACTGATGCATCCTTCCCTGTTGCTCTTGATGAGTATCTTTAAAGGTCTTTATGTGAATTCTGGTGCTTTTTTTTAAACCATTAAAACATCAAAATCAGTAAAAGAATATGGAGCTTATCTGTAGCCATGTATAAAACACAGGATATAACTATTTTAATTTCAAACACACACACATGCACCCACAAACAGTTCTCCCAAACAGAAACTAAATTACAATGCCCCCAAATAAGAATAGTCTAAGAATTAATCTCTGCCAAGTCAGCTTTCCCCTAGATGATGGATTTGTTAGTTAATCATTCTGAAGCCAGGATTAGAGCACAGTCAACAGTTTAATAAACCATTCATTTCCTACAGTGTGGAGCACTTTCATGGTTTTTTTTTGTTTTTTTTTTTGCTCTTATGCCACAAACAGGACTATAAATTGTATTAGTAGTTGTTTTTGAAAAGGATGTCAAGACTTCCATTGTAAGATGGCGATTTGAGTCTGCAAAAATTATTTGCTTTCTTCCCAAGTTCCTGTGGAAGTAGCCAAAAATATATTTTAGAATATGATTAAAAATTATTCTGAAAAACTGGACAAATTTGGCAAAATAGTAAATAATTCCTATTGGAGAATTGACTGTCCCACCGGTTAGCTCTCATGAGAAGCCCACGCGAACTTAGCAAACTCTGAAAATCTCTGGGGCAGGGGGAGTGGGGAAGGGCTAGGGAGTGCAGTCTTAGGACCTGTACTTTAAGACCTTCACTGAAACCGGCTCCTCTGGGGGCAACCCTGAGCCTCAGAGGAGACACCAGCCCACATAACTTCAAGTCTCCACCATAAACACAGGAAAAATAAAAATAATGGAACAGGGAAATGAAGGAAAGAACAACTCGAGCCCGCAGAAAGGCTGAAAGCCTGGCCTTCTCCAGCCACACTCATTTCCCGTGGACATTGTTGGGAACTGGAAAGCACTTTCCGGTCATTTTCCAGGGGCTGCGGAGCAATTTTCTTCCATCAGGAAGGAAGCAGTGCGAGCTTTGCTGATTTTATGAATAAGGTAAAACCATGCTAGACCTGCAGCTCTCAGGAACAGAGACGGTTTTTTAGCTATCCAGAATTTAAGGCAATATGATCTTAGGAACTGATTGAAGTTTATTGATTTTTCAATTGACGAAACATTGATAACAGCATCAGGTGGTAAAATTACACCCCTCAACCCAGAGGGTATTTTTTTCTCATCCCAGACTCATTGTTGAAGCTGACAAGCAAATGGGTTTCTGGTAAACATTTGTTCCATTCAATCTGAACACTAAATTGGTATGTAGCAATAATGTGAGGGTAATTATAGGAGTCCGAAGGACCGTAAATCTTGCAGAAGCCTAAATGTTTTATAAAGTAGGCTATTTCTTTTGCATGTGAATTGGCATTAGTTTGTTCAAGAGGAAAAGCACATACCAAATAACTGGATTCAATTCAATTTTTAAAAGATGTGTATGTGGGTTTTCAGCAAGGCAGAGTACAGGGCTGAAGGTCACAAGGATGGGGTTCCCGTTCTCTTTCCTCCCCTTCATCCTTCATTTAAATGACTTTTCATTAATTCTGTAAAACTCACCAGAGACCCCTCTGCTCCCAGGGGCCAGCCTTTCTCACGTCAGTTGAAAAGAGCTCTTCACAACACATGATTAAGTTTTATTCCTCTTTCCTGCTGGGGGTGGAGGTGAGGAGGTAGGGAATGATTCCTCCCAACTGATTTCTCAGCATCCACACTGTCTTCCTCCATATGCATGAGCCCACCCCTCCCATTCCTCCTCAGGAAATTCTACAGCCATGCTCTCATTCAAACCCACCATCCAGAGAGTGGGCCTTGAACCTCTGCGACTCAGGGTCCTGATCTGTAGAATGGGGTGAATAATTCATCCCCAGTTGGGTTATATGAAAAATTGAGAAGATAATGTGAATATGAAAATGTTTGAAAGCTACAGTATGATAGAGGGTGCATAGGGAGAGAGAGCTAGAGAGAGAAAGAGATAGAGAGAGAGGCCAGCAGCCCCTTTTACTGAGTGATTCTGGGCAGATTTTTAACCTTTAGCTTCCTCAGCCTCCTTATATGGAAA